CCACGGTCTTCCCCTTGCGCAGCAAGGGTGAGGTCCTTGATGTCTTGATCCCTTGGATCCGCGGAGTCCGTCCTCGCTCCGCGTGCAGTTCCGCTAGGACCTTCCTGTCCTCAGTCTTGCGGGAATTTTGTCGTGGGGAGGGCATTCTCCAGTCGTTCACGCTTCCGGCCTCCCCGCAGCAAAATGGGATTGTTGAGCGTCGCATTGGCTTAGTCATGGAGGTCGCTCGTACCTCCATGATCCATGCGGCTGCTCCCCATTTTCTGTGGTCGTTTGCGGTCCGGTACACTGCGCATCAGCTCACTCTGGCCTTGTGTCTCCTTGACGGAGACCTCGCCTACACTGCGTTGGACGGGGCAGGTTGGCGATGCGTCGGTGTTCCAGGTCTGGGGTTCTTATGCCTTTGTTCGCGATACGTCCGTGGACAAGCTCTCCGCCCACGATATTCCCTGCGTCTTCCTTGGCTTCCCCCCTGACGCACCTGGCTGGCAGTTTTACCACCCCACCTCGCACTGTGTCCTCCCCTCTCAGGACGTCACGTGTGACGAGTCGGTTCCCTTTTACCATCTCTTCCCCTACCTCTTTGCCCTTTCCCACCCCCGCCGCTCTTCCTTGCTCTAGGTCCCCCTCCGGTAGACCCCCTCCCCCCTTAGGGTCCTGCTCCCTTAGGTGTGTCTCAGGTAGACTCTTTCGAGCCTGTCGAGGTAGCTGTCGACTCTGGTACTGCTGGGGGTGGTGCTACTAGGGGTGCTGCATCTGGGGGTGCTGAGCCAGCGGGTGCAGGGCCTGGGGGTACTCAGCCTGCGTGTCCGGAGCCTGGGATTGCTGAGTCTGAGCGTGTGGAGCCTTGGGGTGCCGAGCTTGGGGATGCTGAGCCTGAGGGTGCGAAGCCTGGGGGTGCTGAGCTTGGGGGTGCTTAGCCTGAGCGTACTGAGCCTGGGGGTGCTTTGTGTACTGGAGGTTTTCTGGGTGCCATGTTGTGGCGGGAGCCTCTCTCTCCACCACAGCTGCGCGAGTGGTTTGCTCGGCGCACCCGCCTTCGGAGTGGCGCTACTGGAGCTGGAGGTGCTGCAGGAGTTGGAGTTGGAGGCATTGGAGCTGGAGCTGCTGGAGATACTGGAGCCACATGTCTCGAAGGTGCTCGTACTGGAGGTAATGGAGCTGCTGGGGCTGCTGGTGCTGCAGGAGTTGGAGCTGGAGGCACTGGAGCTGGAGCTGCTGGTCCTGGAGGTGCTCGTACTGGAGGTACTATTGCTGCTGGAGCTGGTGGTGCTGCAGGCGTTGGAGATGGGGACCCTGGAGCTGGAGACACTGGAGCTCGAGGCGCTGGCCCTGGGGGAGCTAGTGCTGTTGGTGCTGGTTCCGGAGACACTGCACGGCCGCGACCGTACTTCGTTCCCATGCTTCAGCAGGTTCTTGGTCTCCCGTCTTCTGCTGACTTTACTCCTCCTTTACTGTGTCCACCGCCTTACCACTTGCAGCCGCCGTTAGAGCCAGCCTCCCCACTGCCTGATCCTTCTCCTTAGACTGAGCAGACCGGAGGTCTTACAGAGCGTCGTGAGCCTGTATCTCACCCTGCCTCGCCTGTTCGAGCTCTTCGCACTGGTCGTCGTGTTCCGCGTCCGCGTCCTCTTCCTGTCCCCGGCTCGCACCATATGGCACTTCGTCCTTCCTCTGTTCCACAGCGTGTCCCCCTGCCGTCTCCTCCTGCGTCCTCTCTTGCTGACGGTCCGGACCTTGAGTCTGACTTAGCTCGTGCTGCCAGTCCTACCGTCCCTCGTCTTCTAGCCACTGTTGTCACTGACCCATCGTTTGAGTCTGCTGCTGCTTCTGCTCTAGTTGTTGAGCTTGTTGCTTTTACTGCTGCCTATCATTTCGACTACGCCGCTAGTCTTGTTGCTGAGTCTGAGTCTGACAGTCCTTCGTCCCTCGGGGGTGAGTGTGCTCTTGGCACGGACATCCTTTAGGACATGCAGGAGGACTTTGAGTGTTTTGCAGCTGCTGTACCTCATCTCGTGTCCATGCTGATTGCACCTGAGGGAGACCCGGATACACTAGACATCCCGACCCCGCGCTCTTACGCAGAGGCGATTACGGGTCTCTACTCCTCTCAGTGGCAGACAGCCATGGACGCAGAGATGGTATCCTAGAAGTCCACAGGCACTCACGTCGACGCAATTCCCCCTTCTGGCGCGAACATAGTCGATGGCATGTGGATTTTCAGGGTGAAGCGGCCGCCGGGTTCTCCGCCTGCCTTCAAGGCTCGTTACGTTGCACGAGGCTTCAGTCAGCGACAGGGAGTTGACTTCTTCCAGACCTTCTCCCCTACCCCAAAGATGTCTACTCTTCGGGTACTGCTGCACGTCGCCACTCAGCGAGACTACGAGCTTCACTCTCTTGACTTCAGCACAGCTTTCCTACAGGGCAACCTGCATGAGGAGATCTGGCTGCGCCGCCCACCTGGCTTCACTAGCTCGTTTCATGCAGGTACCGAGTGGAGCCTCTGGCGGCAAGTCTACGGTCTCCGCCAGGCGCCTCGCGAGTGGCACGGCACACTGAGGACGACGCTTGCGGCTCTTGGGTTTGCTCCTTCTACTGCTGACCCGTCGCTGTTTCTACGCACCGACACTTCGATGCCGTCGTTCTACGCCCTCGTCTACGTCGACGACTTGGTCTTTGCCACTGCTGACACTGAGGCACTGGCCCTTGTGAAGTCGGAGCTACAGAAGAGACACACTTGCACTGACCTGGTTGAGCTGCGCAGCTATCTTGGCTTGCGGATCACCCGGGACAGAGCACGGCGCACCATTACCCTGACTCAGTCACACATGGTGCACCAGGTCCTTCAGCTTTTTTGCTTCCGGTACTCCTCGCCACAGTCCACTCCTCTGCCTACCGGTCACTCGCTCTCAGCTCCACCTTTGGACGAGTCCGTAGAGCCGAGTGGCCCCTAACCAGAGCTTGTGGGCTGCCTCATGTACCTGATGACCTGCACTCGACCTGATCTTGCCTTCCCTCTTAGCATCCTGACACGCTACGTTGTGCCCGAGAGACACCGACCAGAGCACTGGGAGGCCGCTAAGAGGGTGTTGCACTACTTCTGCAGTACGTCGGGCATGGGGCTCGTGCTTGGAGGACGGGGTCCAGTTGTCCTCACTGGACACGCAGACGCTTCTTGGGTTGACAACTTGGCTATGCAGCGGTCGTCACAGGGTTACACTTTCAGCCTTGGCTCCGGCTCTGTTTCTTGGCGGTCTACCCGCTCGTCTTCTGTTCTCAGTTCCAGTTGTGAGGCTCAGATCTACGCAAGAGCCATGGCTGCACAGGAGCTACGCTGGCTCACCTTCCTGCTGACCGACTTGGGAGAGCGGCCTCGTTCTTCTCCAGTTCTGTGCGTAGACAACAAGGCCATGATTGCCTTGTTTCAGGAGCACAGAGTGGAGCACAGAATGAAGCACATCCCTCTGCGATACTTCCTTGCTCGAGAGTTGCAGCAGCGTGGTCAGCTTCGTCTTGCTTATGTGGCCACTCGGGCCAACACTGCTGATATATTCACCAAGGCATTTCTGTCTGGTGATCATCAGTGTTTCTGTACCGTTTTAGGCCTTGTGCCTACTTTGCCTCACTTGCTCACTGCGTGACTTTGCTTGTACTGTGATCTATATATATCTGCATGCTTACTCTTGCTAGGGTGTGATCATTGTACTGTTTTTTTCTCTTTTATATAACTGTGCATGTGAACTGGCCTTGTGGCCATTTGCTTGTGCTCGGAATGTGTGGTGATTTCGTGATCCATGGCAGTGTAAATCTGTGCTGTGACAGATTCACTCTCCAGTGTGTCATGGTGAACCCTCTATGACAGTGCGAATCCCTGCTGTGATAGGGCGAATGTGATGTGACAGGGTGAATGTGGTGTGACAGGGCGAGTGTAGTGCGCCTTCGAATGAATGTGAAATGTCAAGAGAATTCTAGGGTTAAAAACTGCACTCAAATGTTGATCCCACGTGCATCTACTCTACACACTAGCAACTCTATTTTGATTGGTCAGATAAGGTTTGTAGAAATTTCCGATTCATCAAACACGCAAAAAACTAAATATCTGATGCATACAACGGACCCGAAGGGGAACTCGTAAGGGCATCAGTGGAACTCGTGCTGGCGCATCCACTTGGTGGCGGACCACTTCTCCCCTTTGAGCACATCGCAGCTACCGTGCAGACTCTTGGGGTCCACCCTGCCCTCAAAGTCCTGGAGGGGGGCAGCAGGCAGTGTGAAAGAGCGGACGGAAGGGGCTGGGTTTCTAGAAGAAGCATGCTGGTGGCAGCAGGGATGAAGGTTAAGAAGTATGGTCTGCGTAAAATACGGGCAGTTTTTTCGGTCGTATTTTACGACTAGATTAGCAAAGACATGGCCGTTCTTTTGTCAGACAATTTTAGTGACGAGTTTTTTATTTTGACAAGTTTTGAAATGATTTCAACTACCGTATTTACCCGACTAATAAACCCTAGGGTTTAATCCTACCCCGGGTAAAAAACAGGGGTGTATCTATCATCTGGGTGTAAACGTATTAGACCCGGGGGCTAACCTATGTGTTTTTTTATTCTCTAAACCATGCAGAAATCTAGTGTTACGTACATCGTGATTGCTCATTTCCAGTATCGCGTCCGGGGCGAACTTCGACCGCGCGCTGGCGCAAAACCTGCGCGTGGTCAATTTCGCTAATGTCAGCTAGAAATTTCAAGTTCCCTGACTTCGACCTTCCTATTGCTCAGCTCGATACTAGGGTGCTTACACAAACGGGGGTTGAATGCGAATTCATTACAAGAAATAGGGTTTATTACGAAAGTGGAGATAGCATTAAACCGGCCCCCATTTAACGACCCGGAGGTAGATAATTTTGGGGGGGCTATTAGACGGGTAAATACGGTATGACCTAGAAGGTGAGCATCTATAAAACTACAGTGGTCTATAACACTTAGGATGACCACGTACATCTGATCCTAATCCCTCACCCCCTCTACTACTACTACTGCTTCCTCATCCTTCTTGACCTCCTCCACACTTTCACCATCACAGCAGTCCCAGGGATTGCTATCCTTAGGAGTCTTGGCGGGTTCATCCTCCTGCCCGCTGCTGACTGCCTCCTCCTCCGCCTCCTCCTCCTCCTCCTCCTCCTCCTCCTCCTCCTCCTCCTCCTCCTCCTCCTCCTCCTCCTCCTCCTCCTCCTCCTCATCCGCAGCATGTCCCTTACCCTTTCCCTTGCATGACCCGTTGCCCTTCCCCTTCCTCTTCCTCTTTGATGACTCAGCTGTCTTCCTCTTCCTCCTCTTGCCTATGCTCCCGAACTCCTTCCAAATAATGCCCACTCTTCCTCCCCTTCCCCCTCCTCTTTAGCCCCCACTTCCTCTTCTGCTGCTGCGCCGGAGCGACGGTGCAGCCTTCCTTGAGGGAGCCGTTGCTCAGGTCAGCATAGAGCTTCGCAAGCACCTCTTGTCTTCGATCAAGTGCGTCACGGGCCCTCCTGGTGAAGGCAACATATGTGACGTCCGTCATTCTCAAGGCGTTGAGGCGGTTCCGGTCCTGCCTCTGCACACGTGCAGGGGCGGACCAGTACCGCTCCACCTCGGAGGAGGTGACTGTCTGTGGTAGCACCATCACAACCAGCACCTGAAGCGCACGCACTTCCCCACCGTACATCCACCACACTCCGCATCCATCAACCGTCCGCCCTCCACCAACGTCATTGCTTCCGAACGGGCGTCATTGGAACCCAAAGGCCCCCCGCCTTTGTGGAACTGGGCCAGCTGAGCACACAGCAGTGTGCGCTGTGCGACACCCCCCTCCCGGGCTTGGACTACCTCCTCCGCTCCTCTCCTTACCTCTGGGTCGTTTCTCACCTCCCCAACATAGTGGTTGCGGGGGGTGAGAAGCCAGTTCATCGCATGCAAGGGATTGTGCAATTGGCCGTCCAACTTCTTCGCAATTATTGCCTTGATGAGGCCAAGAAGGTTATTCTGTCTTTTGCCACTAGCATGCCCGTCCGTTTGACCAAGAGTGCGGCTGCTCATGTTGGAAAAAGAGCACATGCAAGTAAATAATATAAGCTGGGGATCACCGTAAGATAGCCCGAATGCAAAAGCACATGGCGCCTCTGCCGCAACATTTGTCTTGACAGTGGCCTCTAGCATGAGGCCATAAACCTGTCCCATGAGTAAAGGCCGATTGTCAACGGCTCTAAGCACCTCATAGACCGGAGTCATAAGGCAGAGCACTGCCGTCCCATTGTCCCAAGAGCTTGCGGACCGCCATCCCCTCCTCCGATCATGCCACCGCCACATGCTCCCTTTAATCGCTAATGACCATCTTCCAAATCGCCTTGAATAACTCTGGGAATACGTGTATGCCAATCGTGTTGCACCAGGCCACACCAAGAATAGCCTGTTGAAAGCATGTGGGAAGAGAGTGACGGCTCAAGGCACTGCCTTTCACCATCATCACTACATGGTGAACTTGGCCTAAGTGCCCGAATCTTTCCAAGGTCATGCAGCATGAAATCCAACCGTCCACTACGGCCACTGTCTTGCTGTTGAGGGCGTTGTCCATAAAAGCTTAATTCCAACCATGGAGATCGCATGGCAAATGACACCAGCCAGGTACTCGCCCGCCTTGTTAGCAGTCTTAGAGTCGATGATGTCCACAATCACAAGTGCCGTATCATTATGCGAAATGATACAAACCACCCCACAGCTTTTTAGGCATGTCATCCATCCACCGAGAGGGTGCACCCGCTCATGCTCCAGCTTTCATTGACAAGGTCTTTGGTGTCCGCCTTCAGCTTCGCGAGCAGCGGGCCGGACACCCTGTAGGCGGATGGGAGAGTATAGGGCTTCCCGAAGTTGACGGCCGCGTCAACAAAAGCTTGGAGCGCCTTGGACTTGGAGGTCTGAAATCCCGAAGTCGTTTTCTGCCACTGCAGCTGCCCACAGGTAGTCAAGACAACTGCGAGCAACCGTATCCGCCGTGTCGCGGATATCCCGCTGCCTCGAGGGACGTGCGGGGTGCAGCAACCGTGGACGTGGAGCCACGGTTGGATCCATTCCTTGTGGAGGAACGTTCCTGTTTGGCTGCCGACAGCAGCTGCTCAACGTACTCCGAATTGCAAACCACTATGTTCCGCGATTTCGAGGACGGAATGCCGAATATATGCTCTCCTATTTTGGTCACGTTAGCCGTCACGGTTGCGTCACAATGAATTCATGTAGCATGAACAACAGTGCAGTCTGGTCCCGTCACCTTCTTCACATTCTCCCATAATTTCGAAATCTATCGCACCATGGCGTCAAGCTAGACTGTGCTGACATGAAAGCGGTAAGATTGTTGATATGAGGTAAGGCTATGCGTAAGAAGAATGTGTCAAATTTATTTTTTTCAGCTCCAGTTAGTACCTCATAGGCCTTGCTTTGTCGGGTGGAGTTTGAAGAAGGGATAAGAGGGAAGACGATTGGGCAATTGCTATTGGCTGGGAATGCTTTCGCATGCAAAGGCTGGGAGCGCCAAGTTAGTGGGCGAATACAAAATGCAGGGCGCAAAACAGGTTAACAACACCGTAAAACGGGTGAACAAATGCCATTCGTTCACCAAATGTCAAAAGTGTCGCGACTCGATGTGTCAATTTTGCGATTCGGCGAATGAAGTCAACGACTGTGCGAAACGGGTAAACACTTGTTTACTATTCAACAAATGTCCAAATGTCATGCCTCGAGAACATGTTGAATTTCACGATTTGGCTAAATGAATGTCGCTACTATATGTGTGCACAAAATCACACGTTATAAGACTGACGGGTGCAAAAATCTTAATTTTGATGTACATTTTTTTGGTCTCAAAAGTTCAGTCGAAAAAAAACGACCGTGTTTTTGAACCAAGCAAAAAAATGAAGGTGTTACCGTATTTTACTGTTTCATACGACCGTATAACACGGTCAATTCTAAAAATATGGTCGTACGTTTAAACCTTGGAGGGTCAGAACATTTGTCAGTAGCAACTGTGTTACTGTGATGAGGCAGCCCTTAGAACAGGAAAACGTTCATTGTGTACTCCAGAACAGCACACACCACACTCCAAATCAGCACACACCACACTCCAAAGCAGCACACACCACACGACAAAGCAGCACTCACCACATTCCAGAAGAGCACGGCATCGCCCTTGACTGGGCGCACACAGATGCCCTCCTTCATCTCGCCGCCGCACTCACACTTGCTGCTGCCGCCCGCCTGCCACGCGAATTGAGGGTGCAGTGAGGCAGCAAGGCATGAGAAAACAAGGGCGTGGGAGAAGAAGAGCATGAGGATTACGCTGAGCGGTGAGACTGAGTCTCAGTGAGTCGGCTGCACACATATAGCTAGGTTGCCCTGAGAGACAGTCTTCATTCACGATGCGAGACGCCTTGGATTATTGACACACCCGGCGCCCTCTGCCCCGTTCTTTCATTCCGCCATTGTAGGTCCCCAACCACTTCCCAGGAAGGCACAACAAGGCTGAGAGGCCCATCGAAAGGGAGCACAGATGAGAAAAAGAGAGCAGGGAGGAAGACATGAGAGCATGCCATACCACACAGCATCTCACTGGCTGCCAGGATGGTCACACCCTCAACTGCATGCCTTGAGAGCGGAATACCTTCACATGAATCAGTAGGCACTCCACTCATTGCGTGCTGCAACGAGACACATGCACTCATCAGGCCTAGGAAACGGTTGGTCACAATCTGTTTCGTGGTTATGATGCCATCATGGAGAGTCTACTGCCATTCCGCTACATTGATGGAAGAACCAAACCGGGAACATGCACCTACTCACTTCAGCTCATCGCTTCAATACTGGGCCTGTGGAAGGTAGTGCACCAACTGTAGTGTTCATTTGAGCAGCACAAGTGCGTGGAGGGGAAGGAGCAAGGGATGAGAGGCCCCAGGGTGGTCTCACGTTGGGGAAGATGGTTTGGCCGCCGTCCTCCGGCGCCTCAATGTACATGAGCATCGTGGCCACCCGCTGCCCTCCCCTCCGCACGTTCACCTGCTCCGCTTCGCACCCGTGCAGCACGGCAGAGGGACAGGCAGGGATGAAGGAGAATGGTAACGAATGCGGGAGGGGCAGAGATTGCGGAAGTGAGTGAAGGAGCGAGATAGAAGGTAAGAGGGCGAGGGCCGGGCATATGGACGCCGTATGGGGATGGCGAGTGGGATGTCAAATGGGGATGCCATAGGGTGGTGTCAACTAGGGATGTCAAATGGTGATGACAAGGTGACACTGCAAGACAAGTGTGTGGCAGAGAAACGGCTGAAATGCTTCTCCTGGTTGTCCCACATGCTCCATAACGGCCTGACATGCCCTGCCATACTCATCACCACCACACCCCAACACACCCCATTCACCCCACTGTACCTCGCATCTCCCAGCCCCGGATGCCCTGGCATATCCCACCCACTCCACACATGATGCACGGGCAGACCTGATCCGAGAAGTAGTCAGGGTGTGGCAGGTAGTGCTGGCCGTGCTCGTACCTGATGGTGGGCACATGTGCATGCACGCCACATGCACACACACACACACACACACACACACACACACAGACACACACACAGACACACACACACACACACACACACAGACACACACACAGACACACACACACACACACACACACACACATGTGCGCTTGCACACATGCACGCTCGCACATCCAGAAACAGAGCTAACACTATTCTACAGACGAGAGCATGTTAGCAGGCACGGAGCATGTTAGCAGGCACGGAGCATGTTAGCAGGCACGTGCGCTGTTGAAATACTTCCCAATTTGGAATAAACCCTAGACTCGTAGCAGAGCAGAGTAGATCTAGATCTAGATCAACTCTTGCTCACCCATGGTTCCCCACTACCATACTAGATGTGTCAAACGTTAACTCGTTATGTTTGACAGATTAGTGATGCCTATTTATTTTCCAGAGAATAGGGTTAGCTTACTGTTTATTATTTTTTTACCACAGAGTGCAGTCATTCCGTTTTTTAAGTTAAGGGCCCAACATACCGTTTTTAAAGGAGGGTTGGAACAGCTACCATGTCGAGTTATGGCCAGCCCCGCAACGGCGCTGTCAGGGAGCACCAAGAGGGGGTGACCGACCGTGGGCGGCACGATTCTCACACGCCTGGTCCACTGGCCAGGTTTGGGGAAGATTCATTGGGACTCCCTGGGTCGGTTCGCACCTTCAGGGTGGGAACGGAGCTGCGGGGAGTGCGCTCTAATTCCCGTGTGGAGGGGGCTGCGGTAGGGGATGACGAGGGTGATGCGGAGGAGGATGAGGAGGAGGAGGAGGAGGAGGGGGACGGGGAGGGGGAGGAGGAGGAGGAGGAGGAGCACGTGGAGTACGGTCGGGTAGGGGAGCGTGGGGATGAGCAGGATGAATCAGGCAGTGGCGAAGGAAGTGAGCGCGCATACACTCCTACCGATGAGGGGGGTGATGCGGCAGATGACGAGGACCACGAAATGGATTATTTGGAGGCGGAGGACGGTGGGGAGGAGGACGAGGAAGAGGGCGACGAGGAGGAGGAGGGCGTTGGCGAAAATGAGGGGAGGCGTACGCGTGGGGGGGGTCGCCGCCAGCAAGGGGCGGCTAGTGGAGCAGGAAGGGGGCAGGCTGGTGGTGTTCGGAGTGGGCGTGTGGAGAAGAGGGGTCGCGGGAGGGGGAGGAGAGGTGGAGGTGCGACGGCGCGTTGTCGCACCTCCCGCGGTTCCCCGCCTGCAGAATCGGTGGACGGGGCTAGGCCTCGGCGACGGCAACGTGCTCCGGCCTCTGATTCGGATCTCGGCTTGACTGTCCACATGTTTGGCCCGAAGACAGAGGGACGGCGCAAGTGCAAGATGTGCCCAACTACGATTTCATGGCAGAACAGCACGACCACATCCGGCAAGCGACACTATTGGAACAAGCATCGTGCACATTTGGGTATCTGGGAGCACAGGTTCAACAACCGGCTTGTGGGTGAGGGTGAGACCTTTCCAGAGAAGGGGTATGAGGGCGTGCCAAATGGGGGGATTGATTGGCCGTATTGCACGTAATGGCCAAACTTCCCTGGTGCGGGACGTCAGAGCGGCGTTCGCGGAAGGGGGGGTATGGAGCGGTTTGTGGGCCACCGGTTCAGCGTGCGCTCCTTGCGAGAGGCGGTCACCAAGATGGTGGTGACAGGCAACGTGCCTTTCCGCTTCGTGGAGTTGGAGGCGGTGAGTTTGTTGGTGACACTGTAAGGGTTTAGTATGCCTCGATGTCTTGCACTCGTCATGTATGACATGTCCATAAGTGCGCCGTGACACTTGACCACGAATCCTGTCTTTCCTCTTGATTGTCCCGCGCAGTTCCGCGAGTTGATGGTGCTGCTGAACCCGAACGTCGCGAACGTTCGAGTCCTTCCATCAAGGTGGACGGTTGCGCGAGACGTAGTTGTGTTTGCTGAGCGCGCAAGACTGGAGGCGATGGCTGATTTGGCACCACAGCCCGGGGAGCGCGCCACGGGGGTTGCAATCTCCAGTGATATCTGGACCGGGGGGAACGGGAAGGCCTACTCGGTGGTAAAGGGCCACTTTGTGACACGAGATTGGAAGCTGCGGGAGGTGACGCTGGATTTCCGTGAGATGACAGGGCGACACGGGGGAGAGGAGATTGCGGACTTGGTGCTGGAGGTGGTGCGTGATTGGGACTTGGTGGACCGTTGTGTCGCCTTTGTGTGCGACAACGCGTCCAGCAACACCCGCGCCTTCCACCTCCTCTCGGGTGGTAGTTCTCGCCCTGCCATTTTCCGCCCAGGCATGCACGTCAGGTACGTCGCTTTGATACGCCTTGGATTTGTGTGCCATGAAGTCGTAATGGTTTATGTTGGGGTTACACCATTGCCGACATGTATGGTTGGTTGTGAACCGTCCTCCCCACCCATCCTCTCGCCCTACCTCAGGTGCACCGCGCACGTGCTGAACTTGGCGGTCCAGATAGCACTGAAGGTCCCCCTTGTGCGCAAGACCCTGCGTTTGGTGCGCGACGTTGCCATCTTTGTTGGTTACTCCCCCATCCGCACGGGGAACTCCCAGGCGGAGCAGGTGCGGGCGTACCCGGGTAGAGTGCCCTTGAAGCTGGTCCAGGACAGCCCTACTCGATGGGGGTCGACGTATGAGATGGCGGTCCGCTTCCTCGAGCTGCGCAGGGCGATCCACGTCCACTTCTACGACGACCAGGTAAGACGGTGATAGTATCCTACCACATGCATGGCCATTGCTCCACAGTGTACGTGCTGCCTGCTTGTATTGATTATGATTTAAAGTGACACCCGAATCGATGGTCTCTACCCCAATGCCTCCTCCCTAAACCCCGACCCCAGGGCACGACGCCTAGGGAGCGGAAGCGCTTTAAAAAGCTCCGCCTCAAAGATCAGCACTGGGAGGCGCTTGAGGCGTTGAAGGTATTTCTTGCACCCTTCAACGCCGTCACTAAGTCGGCGGAGGGGTCGCTCTACCCGACCATCTCCATGGTCATTCCAAGCTACAACGATCTTCTTGACAGTTTGGAGGAGAAGCTCCATGGCAACCCGTCCCCGCTGATGAGGACGATGACCGTTGCCGCGCTGGGGCACTTGAAGAAGTACGTGTACGCCAGCAGCGACGACCTGCTCATCGCCACGTTCCTTGATCCAGCGATGAGGGAGGGGTACTTCGCTCTGGGCACGTTTGAGACTAGGCACCCAGAGTTGGTTCAGGGAGGGAGGGAGAGGCGGGCAACGGGCCCAGTGACGGTGGAGCAGATCCTGGAGCTGGTGCGCACACGTGTGACGGATTACCAGGCGCAGGCAGCTGCGAGAGCGCCGGTGTCTCCACCTGCTGCAGCAGCGCCAGCACCTGCTGCCAACATTGAGGGGGATGAGGCTATTGGCAGTAGGCGCCGCTTGATTGCGCGCGTATCTGCTTCACGTGCTGCAGGAGGGTCTAGGCAGTTGGGGGACGAGGTGGACAGATATGTGGGGCACGATGAGACTGGCGACCTATCCCCCCTCGAGTTCTGGCGCACAGTGAAGAACCTTGACACACTGCGAGCCATGGCCAGGGATTACTTGGCGATTCCCGCCACCTCGGCATCGTGCGAGCGAGCATTCTCACAGAGCAGGAACTTGATCACCTTCCAGCGCACACGCCTGAACACCGAGCGTGTGCGGTCGTGCATGACTCTGCGGTCTTGGTACGACACGCACCCTGGTGGTCGTATCGGCGATGGGGCAGATTCTGCCCGTGCTGCAGCAGCAGTGGACTTGGGGCTCGAGGGAGAGGAGGAATGCGAGGAGGAGGAGGAGGAGGAGGAGGAGGAGGAGGAGGAGGAGGAGGAGGAGGAGGAGGAGGAGGAGGAGGAGGGGGAGGAGGAGGGGGAGGGGGGAGGCGACATATGCAGCGGGTGTGGGAGAGGGCCAGGGCTAGGGTGGGGTCGTGTGGATGGGTGGTGCCATCTCATGTTTGAAGTTTCCGTATACTTTTCTTGATTGGAGTGTCGTGACTGTTTTTTACCTCCTCATTTGCTTCTTTTTTCAGAACATGATGCTGTCCATAAACCATTAGACATGCATGTGTTGTAGTGTAACTTGTGTATCATTTTAACCCTCAAACCTTAAAAGGTTCGAGTTCGCTCAAACTTTAAAGGTTTGAGCAAACCTTTAGGGTTCGCCATTGTATACTCAAACCTCAAACCTTAAAATTCTGAAAAAAGTTCGAGCAAACCTGTTCGGTTCGGTTCGACCAACATGCAAGGTTCGAAAAGGTTTGCTCAAACATGTTTGAGTTCGGTTCGTGCTCATATCTACGCGAGAGTATATACGCGAGAGTATATACGCGAGAGTATATACGCGAGAGTATATACGCGAGAGTATATACGCGAGAGTATATACGCGAGAGTATATACGCGAGAGTATATACGCGAGAGTATATACGCGAGAGTATATACGCGAGAGTATATACGCGAGAGTATATACGCTAGACGCTGGCCATGAGGGGTCTGGTACACACAAGAATACGCTTGCCCGGGCAGGGATTTTTTTTTTTCCCGAGCAGATTTTTGGGGTAAGAGGTGGGGATAGGGGGGTGATGTAACCCCCATCCCCTTTTTATTAATATGAAAGTTACAGAAAAAAAACCCGTAAAACTCTGAGGGTGTAGAACGAGAACTTGTTGCTGTAGGAGTAGCAACCATGGTGGCTGGGGAGAAGAGGTAGCTAGAATAGGAAGCGAGAGAATGAATATCGAGTGAACAAATGCCACTCTTTATGCCTGGGAGATTGGGTTGGGTTGAGCTCCCAACCAGTAAAGTAGCGGTTGAAGGGGGTGGTGGAATGCTGTGGTTTAAAGGGGTGTGAAACGGTGGAGGGGTGGGGTTGAGGAGGTTTGGAGCTCAAAATTCAAAATTCGAGTTCAGTTCGCGACATCTGCGACTCGAAATAGAGATCGCCACGTCGCGAGCTTCAGATTGATTTTTTTTTTCGGTCTGCCCGAAATTCAACTCGGCGAATTTTCAAATTATACGCAGCGTACGAATTCGTTAAGCGTATAAACGCAAAACGCAAAAGCAAAGTAGCGTATATTCCAACTTAGGCAGGCACGGAGCATGTTTGCAGGCACGGAGCAGCATGTTCTTTCGCTCAGCCGATAAATCTTTCGGCCATACCTGCAGCATGCACTGTAGCTCACTTGAGTATTTGGATGAGCTCGCCGTTTTGAGGCGGCACGTTGGAGAAGGCAGCGATGCGCTCCTCGATGCGCTGCTCGCACAGTGGGAGGTATGGGGGTGCATGGGGGGTGCATGGGGGCGCATTGGGGTGCATTGGGGTGCATTGGGGCGCATTGGGGTGCATGGGGGCGCATGGGGGGTGGTCAATTCACAACAGAGAATGTTGATGGATTCAGAACAACCAGAAGCACTGGATAAGACGATGAAACGGTGAAAAGAGACACAAGAGCAGAACTGTACTGTGCCTGGCAGCGTTGTGCAGTGCGGGGGCAGCGGACCTTGACGAGGGGTTGGGCGGAGTCGGAGTGCGAGAGGAACATGCCGCTGCTCGTGCGCACCTCACTGCGGTAACTCTGGCGGGTGAGATGGAAGCGCAACCACTCATGCACATGCACGCAGCACACACACGCGTCCAAGCACACATGCAAACACATGTACAACAAGCATGCATCACACACACACACACACACACACACACACGCACACACACACACACACACACACGCACACACACACACACACATGCACCCATAAGGATATGCAGCCACGCACAGACACACACGGACGCAAGCACACACACCAGATGAGAACCTTCATACATGCACACATACACACAAATGCACACAAACAGACAAATGCAGGCGCGCACGCACACAGGCACCCGCACACACGCACATGCACGAACGCACACTGACACATGCACGCACACACGAGCACACATGCGTTTACACACGCGCACATAAGCATAAGAATTACAATAATACATAAGCATGCATGGAGACATGCATATATGTGGACACGCACACTCCGCTCAAATAAAAACGTGGGATGGGAAGGAGGAGAGGAGGTGACAAAGTTGCATGGAGAGAGAGTTGGCATTTCAAGTTGAGAATGGGAGGTTGGGATGTGAAGAAAAGGGAAAATGAGGAGAGGAAGGGATGAGATCGGAGAGAAATAGAAGGAAAAAAAACGAGAGAACGAAAGCAACGAAGCAGGAGAAGCGAGACGGGGAAGATAAGAAAGCTGGACAGGGGGTGGATGCAGAGAAGAGCGAGAGGGAGGGTGTGAGCGTGCCTTGCCGGAGGAGGAGTCCACAACGGTGGATGACTCGAGGGCCTTCCTCGCCATGGCCTTGAGCGCCTCACACTCCTGCCACCCCCCACATGCCACCCCCCACATGCCACCCCTCACATGCCACCCCTCACATGCCACCCCCCACATGCCACCCCCCACATACCACCCCCGACATGCCACCCCCCACATACCACCCCCGACATGCCACCCCCCACATACCACCCCCGACATGCCACCCTCCACATACCACCCCCGACATGCCACCCCCCACATGCCACCCCCCACATGCCCCGCACGCACGCGGTGCAGCACACACGATGGCTCCGATCCACAACCTCAACAAAACCACACATGAGCATGCGGCAAACTCATGACAGGTTTACAGACGAGCTGTAGTTGCTCGTCCCATAGCAGCTGGGTTGGGCCTTGTAGATCCAGTGCGGTGACGAGTGGTAAGTTCTGGCAAATTGGTTGGGATTTTGGGGGCCAACAAATTGGGAGGAAGGGGGGCCTGGCATTCCTCGCAGTTAGTGGCGAAAATAGATCGACAGGCGAAATCGCAGATCTGTGCAGATAGGTGGTCGAAATCGCCGATCTGCACAAAGCGCGGGGGAAATCGGGTTTCCTGTAACCGACCCGACCTCGGGTCGGCCCGACCCCAGGTCGGATCAGGTAAAACCCGGCCCTGTACCCCCAGGTCGGGTCAGGTAAAACCCGGACCTGTATCCTCGGGTCGGGTCAGGGTCTCCAACATCCTGGCCCGGGGCTGACCCGACCCGACCCGGCCCGGAAACCCGCCTGGCCCGGCCAAGTCGGGTCGGGTCGGGTCGTTCGGGCCGGCTGCTCATGCGCACATGCAGCACGACTTACCTGCCAGCTGAGGAAAGACTTACCTGCCAGCTGAGGAAGGACTTGAGGAGAATCACCCGAGGCTCCCAGCTGACCGCCTCTGGGATCACCTGCGCGGTTTGGAGACATCAGAGAGCAGCAGAGAGCAGCAGAGAGCAGCAGAGAGCAGCAGCGAGCAGCAGCGAGCAGCAGAGAGCAGCAGAGAGCAGCAGAGAGCAGCAGAGAGCAGCAGAGAGCAGCAGCGAGCAGCAGCGAGCAGCAGAGAGCAGCAGAGAGCAGCAGAGAGCAGCAGAGAGCAGCAGCGAGCAGCAGCGAGCAGCAGAGAGCAGCAGAGAGCAGCAGAGAGCAGCAGAGAGCAGCAGAGAGCAGCAGAGAGCAGTGAGCGAGAGATGCAGGACGGTGCAGGTGGTGAGACAGAGGCCATGCGCTGTCTGATTTGGTGTGTGTGAGACGAGCGTTGCTGACCAATCACTTGCAACCACAGCCCCTCCCAGCCCGAACTGCCCCTCCCAGCCCGAACTGCCCCTCCCAGCCCGAACTGCCCCTCCCAGCCCGCACTGCCCCTCCCAGCCCGCACTGACGAGGCCGAGCCTGAGGCGCTCTGCTGTACGCCTGTCCGCCCCTGCCATCTCCCACACCGCCCTCACCGCCTCCTCCCCTGCCATGTCACACACACGTGGTATCCAATTGTCATCATTTGAGAAGCAGTGTGGCACAGCACAGGGACTGCATGAGATGGAAGCAGAGACGCCGTGCCACAAACACGGCTGACTGAAGCATGGGAGCAGAGAGGAAGTTGCAGGACGGCATTCGCACACTGCTCCACCAACAAGGACTCACCCACACCCACTCCCTACACCCACCCTCCCATCCATTCGCCCACACCAACTTGGCTCCATCCACCCGTTCCCACCCACTTCCTCACCCCCCCTCTCCCCCCCTTTCCCTACTGTGCTGTGCCTCTGGCAGCTCGACCCCGCGCGTGACGTGGCTGGCAGCACCGCCTGCAGCGCGGAGCGGAGGGGGCGGGGAGAAAGCAGAGCAGGGAGAGGGGAGATGGAGGCACTGCACTGACGGCGGGGAGTGACGTGCCACCAGCGTTGCACACTTCTATTCTAGAAACCACCCCACCCCCTCCCCCTGTGCTACCCGACCACTTTGCCGTGCGACCCACCACGTTCCTCTCCAGCCTCCTCCCACTTGCCTCCTTCCATCCCTGCTTCCCCCATCCTCACTTCACAAACCATCATGCCGTCTCATACCACATCATGCCATCCCATACAACATCATGCCATCTCATACCACATCATGCCATCCCATACAACATCATGCCATCTCATACCACATCATGCCATCCCATACCACATCATGCCATCTCATACCATATCATGCCATCCCATACCACATCATGCCATCTCATACCACATCATGCCATCTCATACCACATCATGCCATCCCATACCACATCATGCCATCTCATACCATATCATGCCATCCCATACCACATCATGCCATCTCATACCACATCATGCCATCCCATACCACATCATGCCATCCCATACCACATCATGCCATCGCATACCACATCGTGCCATCTCATACCACATCATGCCATCCCATACCACATCATGCCATCCCATACCACATCATCCCATCCCATACCACATCGTGCCATCTCATACCACATCATGCCATCCCATACCACATCGTGCCATCTCATACCACATCATGCCATCGCATACCACATCGTGCCATCTCATACCACATCATGCCATCGCATACCACATCGTGCCATCTCATACCACATCATGCCATCGCATACCACATCATGCCATCCCATACCACATCATGCCATCCCATACCACATCATGCCATCCCATACCACATCATGCCATCGCATACCACATCGTGCCATCTCATACCACATCATGCCATCGCATACCACATCATGCCATCCCATACCACATCATGCCATCCCATACCACATCGTGCCATCTCATACCACATCATGCCATCGCATACCACATCGTGCCATCTCATACCACATCATGCCATCGCATACCACATCGTGCCATCTCATACCACATCATGCCATCGCATACCACATCATGCCATCCCATACCACATCATGCCATCCCATACCACATCGTGCCATCTCATACCACATCATGCCATCCCATACCACATCGTGCCATCCCATACCACATCATGCCATCGCATACCACATCGTGCCATCTCATACCACATCATGCCATCCCATACCACATCGTGCCATCCCATACCACATCATGCCATCGCATACCACATCGTGCCATCTCATACCACATCATGCCATCGCATACCACATCATGCCATCGCATACCACATCGTGCCATCTCATACCACATCATGCCATCCCATACCACATCATGCCATCGCATACCACATCGTGCCATCTCATACCACATCATGCCATCGCATACCACATCATGCCATCCCATACCACATCATGCCATCCCATACCACATCGTGCCATCTCATACCACATCATGCCATCCCATACCACATCGTGCCATCCCATACCACATCATGCCATCGCATACCACATCGTGCCATCTCATACCACATTATGCCATCCCATACCACATCGTGCCATCCCATACCACATCATGCCATCGCATACCACATCGTGCCATCTCATACCACATCATGCCATCGCATACCACATCGTGCCATCTCATACCACATCATGCCATCGCATACCACATCATGCCATCGCATACCACATCGTGCCATCTCATACCACATCATGCCATCGCATACCACATCGTGCCATCTCATACCACATCATGCCATCGCATACCACATCATGCCATCGCATACCACATCGTGCCATCTCATACCACATCATGCCATCCCATACCACATCATGCCATCGCATACCACATCGTGCCATCTCATACCACATCATGCCATCCCATACCACATCATGCCATCTCATACCACATCATGCCATCCCATACCACATCGTGCCATCCCATACCACATCATGCCATCGCATACCACATCGTGCCATCTCATACCACATCATGCCATCCCATACCACATCGTGCCATCCCATACCACATCATGCCATCGCATACCACATCGTGCCATCTCATACCACATCATGCCATCGCATACCACATCGTGCCATCTCATACCACATCATGCCATCGCATACCACATCATGCCATCGCATACCACATCGTGCCATCTCATACCACATCATGCCATCCCATACCACATCATGCCATCGCATACCACATCGTGCCATCTCATACCACATCATGCCATCCCATACCACATCATGCCATCCCATACCACATCATGCCATCCCATACCACATCGTGCCATCTCATACCACATCATGCCATCCCATACCACATCATGCCATCCCATACCACATCTTGCCATCCCATACCACATCGTGCCATCTCATACCACATCATGCCATCCCATACCACATCGTGCCATCCCATACCACATCATGCCATCGCATACCACATCGTGCCATCTCATACCACATCATGCCATCCCATACCACATCGTGCCATCCCATACCACATCATGCCATCGCATACCACATCGTGCCATCTCATACCACATCATGCCATCCCATACCACATCGTGCCATCCCATACCACATCATGCCATCGCATACCACATCGTGCCATCGCATACCACATCATGCCATCGCATACCACATCGTGCCATCGCATACCACATCATGCCATCGCATACCACATCGTGCCATCCCATACCACATCATGCCATCGCATACCACATCGTGCCATCGCATACCACATCGTGCCATCGCATACCACATCGTGCCATCGCATACCACATCATGCCATCGCATACCACATCGTGCCATCCCATACCACATCATGCCATCGCATACCACATCGTGCCATCGCATACCACATCGTGCCATCGCATACCACATCGTGCCATCCCATACCACATCATGCCATCGCATACCACATCGTGCCATCGCATACCACATCGTGCCATCGCATACCACATCGTGCCATCGCATACCACATCATGCCATCGCATACCACATCGTGCCATCCCATACCACATCATGCCATCGCATACCACATCGTGCCATCGCATACCACATCGTGCCATCGCATACCACATCGTGCCATCCCATACCACATCATGCCATCGCATACCACATCGTGCCATCGCATACCACATCGTGCCATCGCATACCACATCGTGCCATCGCATACCACATCATGCCATCGCATACCACATCGTGCCATCCCATACCACATCATGCCATCGCATACCACATCGTGCCATCGCATACCACATCGTGCCATCGCATACCACATCGTGCCATCCCATACCACATCATGCCATCGCATACCACATCGTGCCATCGCATACCACATCGTGCCATCGCATACCACATCGTGCCATCGCATACCACATCATGCCATCGCATACCACATCGTGCCATCCCATACCACATCATGCCATCGCATACCACATCGTGCCATCGCATACCACATCGTGCCATCGCATACCACATCGTGCCATCCCATACCACATCATGCCATCGCATACCACATCGTGCCATCGCATACCACATCGTGCCATCGCATACCACATCGTGCCATCGCATACCACATCATGCCATCCCATACCACATCATGCCATCGCATACCACATCGTGCCATCGCATACCACATCGTGCCATCGCATACCACATCATGCCATCCCATACCACATCATGCCATCGCATACCACATCGTGCCATCGCATACCACATCATGCCATCGCATACCACATCGTGCCATCGCATACCACATCATGCCATCCCATACCACATCATGCCATCGCATACCACATCGTGCCATCGCATACCACATCGTGCCATCGCATACCACATCGTGCCATCGCATACCACATCATGCCATCCCATACCACATCATGCCATCGCATACCACATCGTGCCATCGCATACCACATCGTGCCATCGCATACCACATCATGCCATCCCATACCACATCATGCCATCGCATACCACATCGTGCCATCGCATACCACATCATGCCATCGCATACCACATCGTGCCATCGCATACCACATCATGCCATCCCATGCCAACATGTCATGTCGGTATGCCCTTGAGAGTGGGATGCATGCAACACATCCTCCACAGTAAGCACACAAACCCCTTGCAGCACCGCATCACACCCCACCCCACCACACCGCACCCACCATGCCGCTTAGCCTGAGGGTCGATCCACGAGACAAGGGCGAGCAGAGCAGCTAGCGGGGGGAGGGAGAAAAACGAGGAGGGGAAGGGGAAGATGGGTGGGGTGAGGGGGAAGAGGCACAGCAGCAGCGAGAATCAGGCGGGCAGCGAAGGAATGCGCGCCGAATGAGAAGCTATGGACAGCGCGATGCGCAACCAGGGCGCTTCGCGACGAGCGTTCACGTGACGCACGGCGAGCGAAACGCAACCGAATCGCCAATCAGCACGCGCGCACCGGAAACGGCGCAGAGCGCGGCGAGAAACAGAAGGCGAGCTACGGCAGCGGCCAGCCACTTGCCGACTGTCGCAGAAAGACTCGCGCGCGATCGGATGATGAGACCCATGCGCCCGCGGAGGTGCTGGAGTGGCGCAAACCAAGGGTTGCCTACAGATGGACGTTCGTCCCAAGGTATGATCGAGGCTCGGGAGGGTCTGGTTGCGACTAGCTGGGTTGTGATGGGCTCAGGTTCAGTTCAGTTCAATTGGAAGTAAAGACGAACATGACAAAGTTTTGCTCGCTGATTTCGCAGCAGTTCCACCCAAACATTCGACTCCATATGTAGGGCGTGTCCTACGAGTTCGTTAACAGTTCATGTAGAAATTTGTATCCCTATTTCCTTTGTGTAACTCTTATATTTCGACTACTGTAGTCAGGCGACTTCAAGGACGCGCGACAGTGACGCGCCAAACACGTCAAGAGGTTCGTATTGAACGCGGCTTCCATGGTAGTACCCCGACTCGAACAGGTCCGCGTAAGCTCGACCTCAATCTCAGAATTCGCCCAGCCCCCACTGGTGCGAAAAAATGAAGTCGTTAAGGGTCCCGAGTTCTGGCCTGGTAATTCAGAACTGGGGGTTTACTGCTCGCGGCCCATGTCAAATGTGAGTCGGGAGACGAGTTTTCTGTGGACGGGGCTATGAGTCCGCGTTTCGTTTGGCGCAGTGCTGACGCGGTGCGTGTTTTTTTCGTCAGAGTGTACACTTTTTTGCTGACTCGAAGTTGCGTAAAAAAATGGGTTTTCTTCCAAAACGAACTCATGGTACACGCCCTTAGTTACTAGTGACGCCACGTGTGGAGCCAAGCGCCAGCTCTTGTGCGAGATGGATGAAATATCGTAACAGAGGTTACTTTTGCTCGCGACAATAGTCTTTAGTGGGTGTTTTTTTCCAGCGACAGACAGATTCCCCTCTCGTGATGGCAATGTAGACAACTTGGCTTCAAGCTCGTTTTGGCCTTTCACGAAGGGGCTTTCGTGACACCCCGTGACCCCGCTCCCTAGTCCGTGAATTAATCGCTTTCGCGAACGACCTTTCATACTTTATTTCCCCACGCGCCCAGTGACGTCACTACAACCCTTTCAATGGAGAGGGACGGTCCACCGTCAACCAGCTCGCCTCTGCGCACCAACCCAGTTATGTCGATCACCCAGTTACTAGCAGTCCCGCTGCGTTTATAGTCACGGCGTCAGTCGTTGATACTGCGTTCGTTTGCCGTCTCAATGCCTCTTCGGGCCGTTCTACGGTAGACAATCCGCGAAACAATCGTATCAGCGCTATCAGAATCTCCCGCGCAGTGGCGTCGGCGATGAGAGGCTGAGCGCGATTCGGTAAGGTTAGGCTCTGAATATCAATGACTGTATCCGCAACAAGTTTTTGTGAGCTTAGCCCCCTTATATTTGTTTTCGCTTTCATTTGAATTCGTTACGTGCTACAAAATCGGATGAGCGCCGAGCAGCAGGCCCTGATGAGACCTCGGTGCACAATCATTCATCGTTCGCTGTCCCCGTTACAATCTCAAGAGAGCTTGTTCGAAACAAGTGCCGAAAAACGTGGCCTTCTCCGAGAGAGTCTGTGCAGTCCCGCTACTCTTCAGCGTATCCCCATTATGGAGCTGCTGGTTTCACAGCTCATCTCCCTTTCCCCACATGGCAATCACAATTGCATCGCCTCCCAACCTCCCCCTCACCTCCCCCCACCTCCCCGCCCTACATGCCTATGCCATCACAAGGCGACGCGCAGCACAGGCAACGTGCTGGGTTGTCATCTCCCTTTCCCCATTCCACATCTGCACCTGCATCGCCTCCCCACTTCCCCCCCCCCCACCTCCCCTTCTCTCTGCACTCATGCCTCCACGTGGCGCCAGGGCTGCTGGGTCCCCTCCCCTTCCTCTCTCATGCATGCATCCTCGTCGCCTCCCCTTCAATGCCCTCTCCCCATCCCCCCTCCCCCCCTCTTTGCCTGCAGGCCACCACATGGTGGTGTGCAGCACAGCTCGCCACAGGCTGCTGGCACTTGACACACAGCTGTAGCACTGCACGGTGGGGTGGGGTGAGGTGGGGTGGGTTGGAGTGAGATGTGGTGGAGTGGAGTGGGTGGGGTGACATATGGTGGTTGTGTGCGGGATTAGGGTTTTCCTGTCAAGGTTATGGTTTAGGCCACCACACGACAACGCGTGGCACTGCGCACAGCTGCAGCACTGCATGGTAGGGGTGGAGTGGAGTGGAGTGGAGTGGAGTGGAGTGGAGTGGAGTGAGGGTTCTGCAGTTGGAGTGTTGCAGTCAGGCCATGCTCTTGCGGTTCGGTTGCTGGTGCAGCGGGATACACGACTGCAGCACTGCATGGTGGAGTAGCGTGGGGGCGTTGTTTTGTTGGGGTTATGTGGTTTTGCTGCGGTTTGGTTGTTAGGGTTATGTGGGGTTACCCCCTTTTCGCTCCACGACCCACCTTCCCTCAATCCACCCTCTTTTCTCCACGCTTCGCGTTCGCTCTACCCACCTGTTCTCCTTGTTCGCCCGCCGCCCCTTCCTCACCTCTCCCCGCCTTCCACTCCTCCCACCCTCTTCCTCACCAAGCCCTTGCGCACACACTAAGAGAAGCGAGTGGGAAGAGCGAGCATGTGCGTCTCCGAGGGAATCCATGCTACCCCTGCTGCTCTCCTCGTCTTCCTACTTTCCCACCGCTTTCCGTTTCTCCGTTCCCCTCTGAATCCCCTTCATTCTCCCTTAACATCATTTCCAGGATTTTTCTTGCCCCTCTTTCTTCTCTCCCCTCGTCAGGCCCTTGCTCTCTTTCTCTCCCCTCGTCAGGCCCTTGCTCTCTTTCTCTCCCCTCGTCAGGCCCTTGCTCTCTTTCTCTCCCCTCGTCAGGCCCTTGCTCTCTTTCTCTCTCCTCGCCAGTTCGCTGCTCCTTTGCTTCGTTGCTCCTACGCTTCACTGCTCCTACGCTTAGTGAGCTAAAAGGGGGGGAATGATGGAGGGAGAGGGGAGTGGATGGGCTTGGGAGAGGGGGCGTTGAAGGTGCTTCATACAGACAGCGTGGAGGCGTTTCACGACTGCCTGGTGAGAGCCGAGCACGTAATGAGTGAGTAGAGAGGAGTGAGGCAAGTTAGGGATGGGCGTGGGGGATTGTGTGGCGGTAGACGTGCTTCTCACTTAGTGACAGCATCAAGGCGTTTGATGAGTCGTCACTTTTGAGGCACCTCAAAAATGGTCTTCTGAGTCATGACTGTGTGGCGAGGGGCGAGTGCAAGGAAGGAGTGAGGAGAGTGAGTGAGTTAAGGGGGGAGAGAGAAGGGGGAAGGTTTGCTGAAGAGGGAATTGACTGGGCTTGAGGGAACGGAAGAGGGGGCATTGAAGTTGCTTCACACAGACAGCGTGAGGGATATTAGCCTGGTGAGAGGCGAACGAAATGCCTGGTGAGGGGCGAGGCCATTGAGTGAGTCGACGAGTGAGAGGCGAGTGCGTAATGAGTGAGTAGGTAGGAGTGAGACAAGGGAGGGATGGGCGTGGGGGAATGCTTGAGGGCGTCTCTCACCTTGTGTTTTGAGCTGCCCATTTCTCATGAAACTGCATTTTGAGACGTCTCGCAAGTTTCTTATATATTCCCTTCTAGTGGTATCAAGGGAGTTGCAACTTCTGAGATGACTTAACGTTTCCTATTATTTTCGACCCTTTATTGAATATAAGCTTGGTTTCAACATTATCGGTAGCAGTGGCACCCCCAGCCTCCTCTCTCTCCTTTCCCCCTTACACACTCTGCATCTACTCTCTCACAGGTGGAGATCCTAGCGTTTGGTGATCTGAGCCACCCCAACGAGGTGTGGCTGCTTGAGTACGGCATGGAAGACTGCAGTGCTGTGCTACTCTCTCGCACCCTCCCATTCTCCTTCCTCCCCCCCCTCTGCACATACCCATTCATCTCCCTCTCCTCCCACCACAGGCGAAGGTCCTAGTGTTGGGCGATCTGAACCACCCCAGCCACCCTAAACCCAGTTTGCTGTTGGGGTACTGCATGGAGGGAGACCGGGCGATTCTGGTATATGAGCCGGTGGAGAGGCGCAACCTGCACCACTGGCTGCACCCCAACGGTAAGTTTCCACTTTTGTGCGTAAGGGGAAGAAGAGGATGATGAGGGTGGGGGAACGTGGTTGACTTGAAACAGTTCTGGTATATGGGCTGGTGGAGAGAGGAGATGATCACCACAGGTTCAGGGAATGGGGAGGAAGGGGAAACGCGTGATGGAAATGGAGAAGGGTATGGGAAAAGGTTCAGCGGGTTTGGAGTTACGGCTTGAATTCAGGTCCAGGTGAAAAGAAAATTCATATCACCACAACGAAGCTCACTGTGCCAGCCGGGAATCAAACCCGGGTCTGCACCGGGCACATGGCAGGGTGCTATTCTACCTCTTCATTGACACTATAGTAAATGTACAATGGATACAAGACAAATCCAAGCATCTAGTGTATGGAAAGACATGCAGGCTAATCCTATTGTGAGGCCTACAAATAGGCCTCTGAGATGTCTCAGTGGTCCTCTCCAAAGTAGGCAAAGTCAGCTGCAGAAAGAGAAGTCACCTCGGGTGGTGCGTGGTTGACGCCCTCGGTAAAACGAATTTGTGCACGACGACAAACAGTGCGAGACTGCTCACGTTGATGGACCAGAGAAATCCGTTTGTAGAAGTTGGTCTCAAACAGCAGGGGAAGGAAATCTGTAGCACCACTCAAGTCACGGAGTTGTGAAGCCCCTTTGCGGCTGCATTGGCGTAGGAAATTGTTGAACGATGAGCCAAAGCAACCGAAGGTTTCGATGACAAGGGGAAACAGTTTGACGTCTGGACGGTCACGAAGTGCTGCAGCATAGTGGGTGGTCTTCTCACTTTCACGAGTGGCTCCTGCTGAACCAATCACCGTAGCTGCGTTGGAGTGTGGAAACCCCTTTTGTGGATCAGCAATAGAAACATCCAAGGCCCAGGTGGTACCAGAGCTAATGTCGCGGCACGTGATGTCTGTGCGGCGGCCAGGCAGGAGATGCTGGTCTTCCATCTGCACAGAGAACCCAAGCTCCAAGGCAATGCGATGAACTTCTTGTTTGATTGCGTCGTGCACCTTAGTAGGCTCGTTGTTGCTAGGGCAACGAAGGACATGAGAATGGATGGAAGGATCGGTGAACGGGGAGTTGCAGGTGCAGGTGAGTGAAGATGAAAGGTGAGGAAGAGGAAGGCCTAAGCGGATAGCTGCTGCAATGCGCCACTCGGTCTCTGAAAGCTGCATGTGCGGGGAGGATGGAGCCACAGTGAGCCAGTCACCTGCATGCGGGCCCTGCAAAGAGGTTAGACGAGCAAGGCGAAGCGGGGACGTTACTGTGGCTCGAACCTTCTCCAGCAAATCGGCTTCGAGGTGTTGGGAGAGGTGAGTAAAGAGTTTAGGAGGGTAGCCCGATTGAAGCACAGGCCATGATGGGAAGCGGTCACGAATGTCTTGGGGAAGCATGGTCATGGTAGATGAGATTGAAGGGTCGAGGAGGTTAATGGAGTCCGTGGTGACGTAAGGGCGGAAAAGAGGAGCACCATCAGTGATGAAGTGGGTGGATAGGGTCGAAACTGCCTGCGCCCAGCTGCAAAGGTAACTGAGGGGGGCGATGGATGCAGAGCTGCGAATGCCGAAGCCACCTAAGCGGATAGGGAGCGAGGCTTGGAGGCGGGCCGATGTGGACCGTTCAGAGGTGGGATTCCAGTACTCGGAGCCCAGGAGCTGAGAGAAGTGGCTGAAAATCGTGCTGTCCCATGAAGAGAGTAGCTCTTGGATTTCGGGAAAAGGTGCGACAGTTCTGAGGAGGAAAGAAGGTCGGGCAGTGATGCATAAGGAAAGGATCCGTGAGGCAATCTGTGGGTCCTGCAGTTGATGCAGTAAAGGGAGGGAGGTAGTGAAAGAATCGAGCTTGTCACGAACTGTAGAGATGATGAAACCGTCTGAGCCGGTGGGAACTCCAGCCACAGTGAGACCGTTTGCAGCGATGGAAATACCCGGGGGCGGAATGCAGTGTTCGGGCAAGTCCATAGGGGCCCATAGAGAGCACTTAGAGGGTTGGACAGTAAGGCCAAGAGAGAGAAGGCGGGAGGTAAGGTCATTGTATGCGGAAAAGACGTCTGAGGGAGGGCCGACCAAGTAGGTATCGTCTGCGTATGAGGTAACGAAAATTGAGGGAGACTGTTGCTGGGTTGGTTGGATGGCTAGCTGCTGTGTTAGGGCCTAAAGAAAAGGGCCACAAGGGTCGCCTTGACGAACACCAGAAGCTGACTGGAATGTGTGGAGAAGGGGGCCGCTGCGGTAGTGGAGAGGTGAAGGGGTGGAGTAGAATAGGCGGAAGAATGTAATGAGACTAGAGAATGGGGAGCGCCTTAATGCCTCAAACATGGAAACCCGGTTGAATGAGTTGAACGCGTTTGCAACGTCCAGCTGAAGCACCACCCAGTCTGGATGAAGGGAGAAGGCGGAGCACACTGCGTGCGACATAATCTCGATCCCGGCCGGAACTGCTACGCCAAATTGAAGGTGAGGAAGGAATGTCTCTCGCATCTGCAGCTTGAAAAGGAGAGTGATGCAGCGTGAAAGGAGGCGTGGTAGCACTTCCCCAATGGCGATGGGACGTACACCACCATGCGGTTTCTGTAGGGCCACGAGGTTCGAAGCGGTGTAGAAAGGCCTGACTGCAAGTGGAAGATCACCCTGCAGCCAGTTCTGGAATACGTGGAGGAGAGAAGGGAGATGCTGCTGGTGAGAGAGAAACGTGTCCCTGAGGTGCTCAATGAACCACCCAGAAGTTCCAGCAGCTGTGCCACGGGGGGCGGACTGTAGAGCGGCCTGGAGAACAGGGACAGTAAGCTGTGGTGCGGCTGTAGGAGTGAAGCTGTGTACCCAGTCAGGAATTTCTGCTGCAGCAGGTGGGTGCTTGGAGCTGAGGGCAGCAACCGTTTCTGATGATGGAGGAGCTAGCTCGCCAGCTTCCAGTGCTGCCAGTGAACGTGACCAGTCCCCGCATTTCGCAAACCGTTTCGCACGGTTGAGACGAGCCTGCAGCGCCGAAGAACGTGCCGATGCCATGTGCAGAGGTCTGGCGGCTGGAGTGGCTGCAGCTACGGCTTCACTGTAAAGAGACTGCCAGTCACCATAGTGACAGGCTGGTCATGCCGAGATGATACCCTCGTTGGGAAACATTTGGCCTGCATGGTGCCAGTCAGCATAGTGCCAGGCCGCATGGTGCCAGTCAGCATAGTGCCAGGCCGCATAGTGCCAGTCAGCATAGTGCCAGGCCGCATAGTGCCAGTCAGCATAGTGCCAGGCCGCATAGTGCCAGTCAGCATAGTACCAGTCATCATAGTACCAGTCAGCATAGGTCCGGTCACCAGTCAGCATAGTACCAGTCAGAATAGTACCAGTCAGCATAGGTCCAGTCACCAGTCAGCATAGTACCAGTCAGCATAGTACCAGGCCGCATAGTGCTACACTGCATTGTCAGGGGGCGCACATTCAAGAGGCAGTGACTGGTCCGTGTATATCGAGTTGATGCCCTCTTTGGGAAACAACTGGGCTGCATGGTGCTGGGGCATCGTGCTGGGGCATCGTGCTGGGGCATGGTGCTGGGATGCATGTTGCTGGGATGCATGGTGCTGGGGCATGGTGCTGGGCGGCATGGTGCTGGGCGGCATGGTGCTGGGCGGCACGGTGCTGGGCGGCATGGTGCTGGGCGGCATGGTGCCGAGCTGCCAGTCAGCCTTGATAGGCCAGTCCATGCGGTTTTGATGCCCTACTTCCCTGGGAAAGGACTGGGCTGCATCGTGCTGGAGTGAATGCTCAAGGGTTGGTGAATGACGCATGTGGCCTGTTGAAGCCAAGCTGATGCTTTCATTGTGAAAGAATTGGGCCTGTTCAGTCTGTTTTTTTTTTGTGTGTGTAAGCTAGTATGTTGCGAGCTTGCTAAAGCTTGGATGACGTTTTCCTCTTTCTCTCTCCGTTCTGTCTCCCTTCCATACCCCTCCGCTCCCCTCCCCTTCCCCTTGCTGCCCCTTTCCTCCCCTTCCCCTACCCTTGCCCTCCCCTTTCTCTCCCCTCTCCCTTCCCTCTCCCTTCCCTTTCCATCTCGCTCCCTCCTTGTTCCCTCCCGTTTCCTTCCCCTTCCCCTTCCCTTCCCCACTCCTTCCCCTCCCCTTCCCTCCCCCTCCCCTCCCCCTCCCCTTCCCTCCCTTTCCGATCCCCCTCCCCTTCCCGTTCCCTTCCCCACCACCGTAAGTTGGCAGATGCGCCATAAAGAAGGGGGCGTATCACGTATACGAAATGCAGCAGAAATCGCTCAAACTTGGTCAGGCTGCCTGCGAAGAAAAATCGCAAGAATTTGAAAATCGCAACAATTTGCGATGCCATTAATTGTTAACTCGACATGGCAGAGACCAACGCCAATCTGAATTCAAATATCAAACTCCAAACCTTGCCCCACCGTCAACCATTCACCAACAGCTCAATCCCCCAAACCCAAGCTTCCCTCCACCTTTGATTTCTCCACAAGTCAGGTCCACAAATGTTGTGAGGTTCATTCATTCCCGCATTTCTCGGTTTCCAATTCATACATCTGTGCTCAATCAGTGTAGCCTTAGCTTCAGTAGTTGCGCACCAAGGCAAGATCCACTCCCTCGGCGTCCAATGGAGCGTCAGTCGAAGGATCTAGTGGCTGTTTATGCGAACCCCATCCATCTTAGGAAATGTAGGACATATGCAAAGAATTTGAAGGAGATCTGTATCGTTTGATAGTGATTATGAACAAGTTTTGGGGAAGGGTCTCTTGTTCCCCTACTCCACGATTCTACAACAGGTTGTTTTCCCCCTCGCGTCGCCCGTGTGCACTGACCCTAGCCCGCGCGTCGCCCGTGCGCCCTGCCCCTCGTACGTAGCCTGTGCGCCCTGCCCCTAGCCGCCGCGCTGGCCCCATGCCCAGCCAGCAGCGCACGCCCCTGCTACAGCCAGCACGCGCCCCATACTACAGACTGCGCGCGACCACTCTCTAGCGACGTGCGCGCTATAGTCAGCCAGAGTAGCCCGAGGCGCGCGCCACGACAGCTTTCCCGAGGCGCGTGCCACACTCTACCGTGCCTCGAGCCTTAGCAGACCTTTTCCAGGCTTTCTCACCGTCGGTTTTCCTGTTCCCTACCGTTCCTCCACTAGGATCACCGTTCCGCCGCAGCTGGAGGCCGCTACTGTGAGAATCTGGTTCAGGAAAGAGAAATCTATTGAATGATTCACCTGGTTACAAGGCGAGGCTATATATAGGCTCGACACAAAGGCAGTAACCCGGGTGTTACTAGAAGGTTCTGTGGGTCGCAAAGCGTCCCGAGCGGGTCCTTCCCGAATTCGGTAGAAGGCAATTCGATGGCAACCGAAAAGCCTAGAATTCGGTGCACTGTACCTAGTTCGGTGCCTATGACTATAATAATATAGTAAAAGCAACAAACATGGGAAATCAAGCAAATGCATGCAAGATATAAAGCTAAGCTAGATAATACACAATAAAGCAGAATCAAGCAAGTAAATTCCAGCAAAGCCGTCATACTCACACGTCCCCCCCTCAAAGTTGGGTGTAGTGAGAAACACCCTACTTGACAAGATAATCCTTGAGAGCACGGCGTGGGCTGCCCATATCAGCTTCTCCAGCCCAATTTTCCTCCGACCGGTCGTATCCCTTCCAGCGTATCAGGAACTCGAGCGTGTTGCCGCGTCTGCGTCGATGAGCGAGCACTCGTTCCACCTCGTACTCTGGTTCATCCTGTACAAGAACAGGTGGTGGTGGCGGTAGCTGGCGTCCCTAAGTCTTCTCCCATAGCTGCTGCATGGTGGTGACGAAGTTATGTGCGGCTTGGACGTGTGCCAGTATGGTTGGCTGCTGTGGTGTAAGTGGTTACCATCTGCAACACAGGAAGAAAGAAGATTTCCCTGTGGCCGCATGTGACGCGTTATTGTAAGCGAACTCAAGTGTCGGTAACTGTGAATCCCAGTGGCTGACGTCATCTTTGCAAGCAGTGCGCAGTAACTGTTCAACCACCTGATTGAGTCGCCCTGTCTGTTCGTCAGTCTGGGGGTGGCATGCTGAAGACATTGCAAGCTTTGTCCCCAACAAACCCATAAGTTCCCTCTAGAACTTTCCACGATTTGACGGCTTCAATCTTCCGCGGGTCCACGTGTACGCCCTCGGCACTCATCATGTGCCCGAGAAACTGCACCTTCTTCAGGGCGAAGTCGCTCTTTGACAGCTTCACGTAGAACTTGTTCTCCCGCAGGATCTCAAAGACTTTCCGCAGATGCTCCACGTGCTCCTTCATTTTCTTGGAGTAGATGAGTATGTCGTCCAAGTACACCACTACGCACTCGTCCAGCAGGGGCCGTAGGATGTGATTCATCTCCGCCTGTAACGTTGCTGGTGCGTTGCAGCTTCCGAATGGCATCACCAAGTATTCGTAGGAGCCATATCTGGTACGGAACGCCGTCTTGTAGATCGAGTTGTTTGCCATCTTGATCTGCCAGTAACCCGACCATAGGTCCAGCTTCGAAAACACTGTTGCACCATGCTGTTGGTCTAGAAGATCATCTATGCGCAGTATGGGGTATTTGTTTTTTACCATCTGTTTGTTTAGTGTTAGGTAGTCGATGCACATCCGTAAACTACTGTCAGGCTTTAGAGTGAAGAGAACTGGTGCACTGTAGGGAGAGGTGGATGGGAGGATCAGCTGTCTGTCCAGTAGGTACTCAATCTGTTTCTTCATGTCTACCAGTTCGGTCGGACTAAGGCGGTATGGTGCACGTGAGACGGGTTTCGCATCTGGTTCCTCCACAATCTCGTGCTCGTGGGTTCGCACTGGAGGCACTCCTGCAGGTAGGTCGTCTGGCACGATGTCTTTACACTGCTCCAACACCTCCTATACTGCTGCAGGTAGCTCCGATTTTGGCTTCTCCTCCTCTGCTGCTGCCATCACCAATGCTAAGTAACCCGTGTTACTCTCGTTCACTGTCCGTTCGAACCGTGCAACCTTTGTTTCAGGAACATCCCCTGTATCCGTCCAGCTTCGCAGCTCCACACGTTTCCCATTATTGTAGATGCACGCCTTCTGGTTGACCCGGTCAATCTCAGGGTTGAACCGCTTCAAAAAAATATGCCCGAATATGAAATATAATCCCATGATGTTCGTGATCGGCAACGTCGACTTCCATCTCAACGCCCCTATTTGCAGCTGCAATGTTGTCTCGCCGTGGATGGGAAGCTTCGTACCGTCCACCATCGTTGCTGTAAACTGAGTCTCCTCTGAGGATTCTCCAATTTTCTCCAACGTCCCGCGGTCGCACACCGAGTGGGACGCACCACTGTCCACTAGTGCCTGGAGGCGTTGCCCATTGCAGATCACCTCGAGGAGTAGTGGATGCTGCTGCTCCGAGTAGCTGTAGATGGTCTTGCTTACAGGATCATTTGGTACGTCAAATATATCGTCCTTAGGTCCTGCGCTCGAAGCTGCTGGCTCAATATCAGGTTTCACCTGAGTAGGGTTAGAAGGATTTATCCTACACTGGTACAGCTTCTCCTGTGCCTGGAACCTTCCCCTAAGCCTTTGCAGCTGTGTAGGCTTCATCTATAAAAAACGGCGGGGAGCCTTTAAACAGTGCTGCTGGGGGATAATATCGACTCCTCGGAACGCTCGTCCCTTATCAACGCTCCGAAGTAGGGTCCCCATATTGTTGAAAGTAATGAACGAGAATGGATGAACCAGCAATGAGTTGGGTACAAGTACTAACCCTAATTGGGTTGTACCCCTTATGGGCTACCCCACTATAGCCTACACAAATGTAAAAGCTATAATGTTCTGACACACCCCCGTAGGCAAAGTGGGGGAGAACAAGTGGTCACAAGACCAGTCAAGAAAATCAAAGCAAGCTCATGGTGGATCACAAAGTCACCACGCAGTTCGAGCACAAACAAAGGGCCACAAGGCTAGTTCACATGCAGAGTGATATAAAGAGAACAAACAATACAGTGATCATATCCTAGCAAGTGCAAGCATGATGGTATATATATAGATCACAGTACAAGCAGAGTCAAGCAGTAAGCAAGTGAGGCAAAGTAGGCACAAGGCCTAACACAGTAGAGAAGCGCTGATGATCACCAGGCGGAAGTGCCTTGGTGAATATATCAGCAGTGTTGGCCCTAGTGGCCACGTACGCAAGACGAAGCTGGCCACGCTACTGCTGTCAAAATGTAGTATAGCTTATATTGTGTAGGCTATATTGGGGTAGCCCATAAGGGGTACAACCCAATTAGGGTTAGTACTTGTACCCAACTCTTTGCTAGTTCATCCATTCTCGTTCGTGATTCTGACATGGTTTCAGAGCAAGTCCCTTCCTAGGACCGTTTTTTTTGGGCCCACCAACTGTTGCCCTGCTAGCCACTCGACCCTAGGCCCCAGCCCGTAGCCTCGCGCCCGTCGCACTTAGGCCCCGGCCCGTCGCCACCGCTAGCCCGGCCTGTTGCCCCTTGGCATCGTTCGTCGCCCCTAGCCTCGGCCCCTCGGCCCCTAGCGACCCGTCGCCCCTAGCTTCGCGACCCCCGTCGCCCCTAGCTTCGCGGCCCCCCGTCGCCCCTAGCATCGCGGCCCCCCGTCGCCCCTAGCTTCGCGGCCCCCCGTCGCCCCTAGCTTCGCGACCCCCGTCGGCCCTAGCTTCGCGACCCCCCGTCGCCCCTAGCTTCGCGACCCCCGTCGCCCCTAGCTTCGCGACCCCCGTCGCCCCTAGCTTCGCGGCCCCCCGTCGCCCCTAGCGTCGCGGCCCCCCAACGCCCCTAGCTTCGCGACCCCCCGCCGCCCCTAGCTTCGCGACCCCCGTTGCCCCTAGCTTCGCGGCCCCCCGTCGCCCCTAGCTTCGCGGCCCCCCCCGTCGCCCCTAGCTTCGCGGCCCCCCCCGTCGCCCCTAGCTTCGCGACCCCCGTCGCCCCTAGCTTAGCGACCCCCCGTCGCCCCTAGCTTTGTGGCCCCCCGTCGCCCCTCGCTTTGCGACCCCCCGTTGCCCCTAGCTTCGCGACCCACCTGTCGCCCCTAGCTTCGCGACCCCCCCGTCGCCCCTAGTTTCGCGACCCCCCCGTAGCCCTGTCGCCCCTTAGCCTAGGCTCCGGCCCCGCGGCCTCTCGGCCTCTCAGCCCCTCGGCCTCTCGGCCCCTCGGCCCCTAGGCCCCAGGCCCCTAGGCCCTTGGCTCCTAGGCCCCTTGGCCCCTACGACCTCGGC